TCCTTCTTCATTCAAGCATCCTTAGTATGGTTGTCCCACCTATACTTCCTGCCTGGCTATAGGCCAGTCAGTTCTTTATTAACCTAAGAGAGCAATACATAATCACAGTGTACAGAAGGACTATTTCACAGCACACTGTGAGTTGAGTATAGCAGAATGTCATTAGGAGTCATTTTACTGTTTTTTTTTCTTTTTTTAGAATACTAGTATTTGGTTTTACCCTAGGTTCCTAGGCTATCTAATCTCTAGTTCTCAGCTATCCAAGTAGCATTGGGTATGGGTTCCATCTCATGGAGTGGACCTTAAGTTAAATCAGATATTGGTTGGTTACTCCAACAAGCTTTGTGCCACCATTACCCTTGCATATCTTGCCAAAAGGCTACCACTGTAGATCAAAAGGTTTGTGGCTGGCTTGGAGTTTATGCTTCTCTTTTGAGAACATGCAGAGTACCTTCCTGTCCCAAAGATGATAGACTGTAGGGGTGACGGCTCTATGTAGGTACCAGCTCAATTTCTCCTTCTCCGTGTTCATTGAGTTGTGTAGGTGCTGTCTTCAGCAACAGGACCTTGCTGTCAGTTTGTGGAGAACCACCTATAGTGTTAGCAACAGTCTGAGTTGTTTGAGGATTCCCATGGGACCCCTTTGGCCAGCAACTCAATTAGATGTAATCTAATTGTGTACTGGAAACTTCATTTGGTTACAAGAGAGCTAGTTGGGGCTCTGTCTTCCCCATTATTTAGTGATTTCATTTAGATCATCTTCATTCATATGTATATATGTATATATATATATATACATATATATATATATATATATATATATATATATATATATATATATATTTAGGAAGCTTCTACTGTATTAGGTTTCTATACTACCCCTCAAATGGCCCTTGTGGTGGTTTGAATGTAATTGGCCCCCATAAGCTCATGAGAGTGGCACTATCAGGAGGTGTGGCTTTGTTGGAGTAGGTGTGGCCTTGTTGGAGGAAGTGTGTCACTGTGGGGTGGGCTTTGAGGACTCATATATTCTCAAGCCATGCCCAATGTCTCAGACCACTTCCTGTTGCCTGAAGGTCAAAATGTAAGAACTCTCAGCTCCTTCTTCAGCACCATGTCTGCCTGCATGCTGCCTTGGCATGATGATAATGGACTAAACCTCTGAACTGTAAGCCAGCCATTTCGATTAAATGTTTCCTTTACAAGAGTTGCCATGGTCATGGTGTCTCTTCACAGCAATGGAAACCCAAAGATAGCCCTGAATTTTAGCTGTCTCTCCCAGTGTTCTCTCCCTCCTGCCCCTCTACCCTTCCCATTTGATTCTCCCATTCCAACCCACCTCATCTATCCATAACTATCCTATTTCCCTTTCCTAACAAGATCTGTACCCCTAGTCCCTTATATTACACCCAACCTCTAACCTCTGTGGTTCTACGGATTGTAGCTTGGTTATCATTGATTTAACAGCTAATATCCACATAAATGAATAAATATATTTGTCTTTCTGGCTCTGGGATACCTCACTCAGGATGATATTTTCTAGTTCCATTCATTTACCTGCAAATTGTAGACATGTGGGAGAGCATAGCCAGCTGTGAACCTCTGGGAGAGTCCAGAGTGGACATGACCAGACTGAGCTGGGCCATGTGGGACGGGGCAGGGGAACCAGGTGCAGCAGTCAGGAGGTCAGAGGTAACTGAAAAACGTCTGGATTATAGAGGGAGGAAGAGCTGCCCAGCCTCTGGGCTGGAGAGTTCTGGGTAGAGGGTGGGTTATGCCAGCCATACCCTGTGATAGGTAGGGACTGAGGGATGCTGGGAGAACCTGGAGGCCAGGTCTGCTTTGATATGTTAAATAGGCATGTCAGCTGTTTGTCCTGGGTTTGAAATTGAACATTCTTCTTCCCCAGTGCTGGGGTTGAAAGAGTGTACCACCATTGCCTGGGCTGTACTTGATTTTTAATTGGGTTGTTTGTTTTTTTTTGATATCTAGTTTCTTGGTTCTTTATTTGGGATATTAGTCCTCTATTGGATGTATAGTCGGTAAAGATCTTTTCCTAAGCTGCCACTTTGTCCAAATGAGTGTTCTTGGTCATGCAGAAGCTTCTTGGTTTCACGACATCCCATTTATCGATTATTGATCTTAGTGTCTGTGCTGTTGGTGTTCTGTTCAGGAAGTCTTCTCTGTGCCCATGAGTTCAAGACACTTTCTCTTCTGTCAGGTTCAGTGTATCTGGCTTTATGTTGAGGTCTTCAATCCATCTGGACTTGAGTTTTGTGTATGATGATAAGTATGGATCTATTTACATTCTTCTACATGAAGACATCCAGTTTGACCAGCACCATTTATTGAAAGATGCTGTCTTTTTTCCAGGGTGTATTTCTGGCTTCTTCTTTTTTTTTTTTTAATCAAAAATCAGGTATTGATTGGTATGTGAATTTATGTCTGGGTCTTCAATTTGATTCCATTGATCAATGTGTCTATTTTTGTATCAATACCATGCTGTTTTTATTACTATAATTTTGTAATACAACTGGAAAGGTGGCTCTTGAACAAAACTTTCTTATTTTACTTTTCCTTCCTCCCTTCCTCCCTCTCTTTCATCCCTCCCCTCCCATCCCCATTCCCTCTCTCCCTCTCTCTCTCATCTTTTCCTTTTCTGTATGTAACCTACACTTCCCTTTCTTCCTTCCTTCTCCCTGCCCCCCCCCCAGTGGTTAAGAACACTTGGAGTTCTTTTTTTAATTTATTTTTTAAATTACACTCATGATATTCATTAATTACACTCATGATATTAATTACATTTGTGGTATTCATTGATTACATTTGCAGTATTCATTCAATAACCATATTTATGATATTCATTAATTATATTAATTGTATTGATTTATTACATTCATGATATTTTCTTCCTTCCTTTCTTTCTTTCTTTCTCTCTTGTTTTGTTTTTTTCGAGACAGGATTTTTCTGTGTAGCCCTGGCTGTCCTGACTTCCTCTGCAGACCAGGCTGGCCTCAAACTCAGAGATCCACCCCCCTCCCCCAGCCCAGAAAACCTACACTTCCAATTAAATTACTAAATTTTCTTAACCCTACAAGGTTATCTGAATCCCTAACTCTGCTTATAGCAGAGGTTCCCAGCCTTGGTGCTGTGGATGTTTTGGTTTGGGTCATTATTTATTGTGGTGCCTATCCTATGCACTGTAGGATTTTTGTTTGAGAATTTCATATACATATATAATGTGTTTTGACCAAATCTACCCCCATTCCCTCTCCTCCAACTCCTCTCCTAACACCCCCAACCCCCACCCCCTTTTCCTTTCCAATTTCACATGCTCTCTCTTTTTAATACTCACTGAGTCCACTGAGTGCTGCCTGGTTTATCAGCCTCCATAGAAACTATCTACCAAACACTGTTAGGGCCTCCTTCCAATCCTAACAACCCAAGTCTCTGCAGCCTCTCCAGCAGCGAGTCTAGACAGCACCTGTAAATAGGCTTGTCAATCTAAAAGCCACGGTATTATAGGAAAGAAGGTGCCGCTTCTTTAAATTGAGCCTGTACTGGCTGTAGACCTGAGGGGTGGGATTAACACAAGGGGAGAAAGCGCTGGGCTAGAAGGGAGGTCCACAGAGAGAAGTCACTGCTCTTTCCATTGCTTAGGGTTTGTCTCAGGGTGTGGGGGCACCCAGGAGAGCTGATGGGATTTGAGTTAAAGTTTTTCTTTAAAATGTATTTTAAAATATGAACTGGTCTTCTAAATCCTTTATAGTTCATTAATTGATTAACCTATCTTTCTTCCTTTCCATCTTCTGGCCCATGGTGGTTAAATGTCTAAGAATTCTTTGAATTGTGTAAATATGCTAGAAATCCTTTCTATTGCCTGACCTTCAGTGACACTGCTGTTGACAAGCTCTACAGTTTGAATTCACCTCTTTATATCTCTACACCCATGTTTCTCTTCTGCAGATTGAAAATGAAAACCAGGCCAGGTGGTCGTGGTACATGCCTTTAATACCAGCGCTTGGGAGGCAGAGGCAGGAGGATCTCAGAGTTTGAGACTAGTGTGGTCTACAAATTGAGTTCAAGGACAGTCAGAGCTATAGAGAGAAACACTGTCTCAAAACAAAGAAAGGGAGGGAGAGGTGGGGGGCGGGGGAATGGAGGAAGGAAGGAATGGAGGAAGGAAGGAAGGAAGGAAGGAAGGAAGGAAGGAAGGAAGGAAGGAAGGAAGGAAGGAAGGAAGGAAGGAAGGAAGGAAGGAAGGAAGGAAGGAAGGAAGAAAAACAGACTTATCTTTCAAAAGATGGCCCCCATTGTCCTTGGACTGATTTGTCCTTGGGTTAGGCTCTGTGCTAAATGCTGGAGGCAACAAGATACAGCTTCTGACCTGTGTAGCTTGCTCCTGGTGAAATTCCCAGCAGATTCAGACATCAAAGCAAAGCCCCCCAAACTACTTTGACTGGTTGGGCACCAGCAAGCCAAAATCAGCACCCCAGAAGTGTGCTTTCACCCTCAGCACCTCCAAACCACTCCCTTTAGGGCTTCCTTCTTGCTAATGGCCTCCCTCCCTCCCTCCTTCTCATCCCAGAAATCGGTGCAGGGGGTGGGGGGGGGTGGTGGGGGGGAGCGGGGAGCAGCTGGTTCCTGTCTGGGGCTCTTGCACTCATCATCCGGGACCCCCAGCCTGGCTAAGGCTGCTGAAGTGTCTGGATTCTGCAGCCCCAGCCTCGGGGGCGAGTCAAAGAATTCACAGTCAGCACTTTCCCTTTCCCGTGTGACAGACCAGACCAAATCCTTCTTTGAGCAGTCCCGTCCCAGGAGCTGTGGAACACAGAGAGACAAAGGGGAAGAGAGTTTTCCAGGAGGGCTGGTGGCTAGGCGGAAGGTGGGCTGAAGTTTACGGCTTTTGTTGTGGGAGAGGGAAGTGCCCCGGTCCCAGGTCCCAGGCTGCCCCTTTTCAGAATCTCAGTGAAAGGCTCTTTTGTCCTCTTTGCTCCTAGTGCTGAAGGGCCAGGTGCAGACTCTGTTCCCGAGGGAATCAGAACGTTACTGCCATCAAGGTCGACAGCCCAACTCAGTGCTGAGTCTCTCTGCCTGTGGTGGTGACAACCCCCAGACCTTGAAGCAGATCAAAGGGAAGGGTGCAGGCAGGTGAAGAGACAGAGCTCTGGAGATCAGGCCCAAGCGTGGGTTTGGGGGAGCTGAGGTTCTGGCCAAACAGGACCTCAGCTATGAGGATGGTTGGACTCCCTTGTCTCCATGCCAGCAATGCTTTCCCAGGTGAGACCTGTGCACCAAAGACCACCAGTGTTTCCAAATCCTTCTGTTTCTACCCCTTCAGGTGTAAACATTCTACTCCCTATAACAAGTCACACAGTATCATTCTAGGTAACGAAACGAGGGGTCAAGGTGTATTAGAACCGTCTATGGGTTCGAATCGCAGCGCCCAGCATGGAACCATGCCTACTGGACTGCCTCTCCCGAGGTAAGTTATGAACACTCAGCATCCTTTGTCTGTGGGCCGGCTTCTGTTACACAGGTGTCATGAAACAGCGGAAGCCTCTCCTGGGCAGAGAAATGCAACCTCAGTTCAGGCCTAACTTTGTATTGGGCTCCTTCTCCCCTTCTCTCAGAACAAACATCTCTGCAGAGATCTCCACCTTCTCCCACAAGCTTCTTTTGTTTTTGTTTTTTGAGACAGGGTTTCTCTGTGTAGCTTGGAGCCTTTCTTTGGGACTCACTCTGTAGACCAATCTGGCCTTGAACTCACAGAGATCTGCCTGCCTCTGCCTCCCGAGTGCTGGGATTAAAGGCGTGCGCCACCAGCTGTGGCACCACTGCCCAGCACAACCTTCTTTTTCATGCTTAACCTTTCTTGGCGAACAGCAATGTCTTCCGTATAACCGAGTCACTGAGAGTTAGACAGATTTTCTGGTAGGTAGACAGACAGGGAGCGGGCCATTACCAGGTAATAAAGTTGGTGAACTTCCAAGATGGCTGACTTCTTCTTCCACTCGTGACCTGCGACAAAAGCCTGGCATCTGTTTTGTTTTGTTTTCCAAAACAGAATTTTTCTGGCTGCCCTGAAACTCTCTCTGTAGGACCAGGCTGGCCTCAAACTCAGAAATCTGCCTGCCTCCGGAGTGCTGGGATTAAGCCTGGCATCTTAAAGCAAAGGCCTTGTGGCTTTTATTCCTGCCGGCATTCCTCAGGAACTTGGGAAGCCAGTAGTTCCCCTATCCCCAAAGGAGCCATTTCCCTTATCCTTTGCAGAAGGGACAAATGGCTATTAGCATACCAAAGTGCATGCTGGCCTCCAGGCTCTTGTTAGACATTTCAGAGCCCATGCTAGCATCCAAGCTCTTCTCACCCCCACCCTAAACTTCCCCAGCTCACAGGCTTCCCTCCCCACAGTTACTCATTCTTCTTATAACCCTGCTATGTCAGCTATTCTCTCTCTCTCTCTCTCTCTCTCTCTCTCTCTCTCTCTCTCTCTCTCTCCTTTACTCCAGACTTCCTCCAGATGCCTCTGACTGTTCTTTTTCATATCTACAATAAAAACCTTCCCCTTATCCACACCATGGAGCAGTCATGTTGTTAGTTTATCCACGCTCCTCCTCCTCTCCTCCTAAGATGTGACAGTTCAGCCACATCTGTACACTCCCAAAGCCATCACATGCCCCTTTGCCCTCCTGCCAGCCCTTTATTTCAAGGCTCTTATTGTTTGGAGGTTTCTACTGAAGTGAGAAAGACAGCTTCAAATAGTACAGATAAACCCGAAATCACTTTCTGCAGCACCTCATCCCGAGATCCTGTCCCTCCCTCTCCAAGGTGAATACTGTTTGGGGCTAGGAATGCAGAGGTTTTGTTACTGTTCATATACATTTTTGGATATTATAATGGATGCATAAAACACATAATTTCTTGATATGATTGTATAAAGGAGTGCATTTCTTAATTTTACCAGCATCTTGAAGTGACCCAGAGCTGGATAGGTGCTCCAGGCTGAGCCAATGAAAGTCATGGTTGTAGACTTCTCCAGCCACTGGTGCCCTCATAGCTGCAAGTGAGTCCAGAACTTGGCAGGACTCACTTGCAGCTATCTTCTTGAGTGAGTAATGAACATTTTACAATCTGATTCTTGTATCTCCTACATTTTTCAGATTCTTTATCATCTCTGGCTCACAGAGAGCATTACTTATGCTTCCCTGGACTGTTTCAGATTTTCACAATACCTCTTATGTCGCTTCTATCATATGATATCAGAACATGGCCTTGTGATTATCTATTTACTTATGTGTCTCTGGACATGACTCTTTACAGACAATTACTAATTATCTGTCTGCCTGGCATTTGGTAGTCACTCATAAATGTTTATTGCATAACTAACTAAATAAAAACTTGGCCTTACATTCACCTCCTCTAATGGTTGACGAGACTCCAGCAAAGTTTTTGTATTATCTTGTGTCAGATCATTGTGCAGCAAATATTTACATCCCCATCTAAATCCCACGCAAGAAGTGTATTATTTCTACATTGACTCTGCCCTGGGCCAGGGTGCTTTCTTGGACAAATGGTATAGGAGGAGTATACAAATTGTGAGCGGAGGCGGTGTGCTTGAGGGGCAGGCTTACTGTCTTAGATCGCTCTCCTTCTCAAATAGGAGAACAGCCCATAGAAAGACACTGGTCCAAGGAGGGCGAGAAAGAGAACAAAGCACAGTCATCGTCTTGGGGATCCATCCAGCCTGTGTAAGCTGAATTTTCATGTATCTGCAGAGATGAGGTTTATTGTCTGCCACTGAAATGCAGAGGTGGGTTTGTGTCACAATATTCTTGTGGCTTGTGGCCAACGGAGATACACCCACATCAGAACCGCCTGGGGTGCATGTTCTGAATGAGGCATCTGAGCCAGCCTGGGCCTTTCAGCCTGGAGCTGCAGACATTTGTCACCATGCTGTTTACAGGGACAGAGAGAGCAGTGGGTTAGCCTCCAGGAAGCAGCTATATTTGTTTACTAAGATCTGCTCCCAGAGATTTGGAGCTGCAGTGAAGCCAGGGGACAAGATTTTCTCATAGAACCATTTCATTAAAGAAGTGGAAATTCAGAAATGTAAAGACCTCTTGAAGAGATTTATAATTGTGGCGTTAATCAAAAGCCATTCTTCCGTGCATGTGGCCACCTCATGGTTGCTTGTTTAAATTGGAATAAATTAAAATAAACCAGCCCATACAACATCAATGGCAACACAGTATTAACTTATTAAACAGGTATTTAGTATGTAATTGCTAAGTACTAGAAATTTCTGGAAGGCATTGGAAAAAAAATCCAATGTGCCTAAAATAGTCTCCTTCCCCAAAGAACCTCCAGCCTGCTTAGCTATGCTCCTTCGGTGTGGATATTGGTATTTGGGAGTTTCAAAGAAAAAAAAAAGGTAGCTGGGTATGGCAGCATCCATCTTTAATCCCAGCCCTTGGGAGGCAGAGGCAGGCAGATCTCTGAGTTCGAGGCCAGCCTGGTCTACAGAGTGAGTTCCAGGACAGCCAGGACTACACAGAGAAAACTTGTCTCAAAAAAAAAAGGTGATTTGGGGTTTTTGTTTTGTTTGAAATAAGGTCTTACTCTGCTGTCAGGTTGGCCTCAAACTGACAGTGATCCTTGGTCCTCAACCTCCTGAGTGCTGGGATTGTGTGTGTGAACCACTTCTCTTTGGGACCCACCTAACTTCCTGGTTCATGGACAGGATTCTTTGAGGTAAAACACAACCAGTCTGTCCTCGATCCTGCATTACTTCAGTAACTTTGTCCCACCACCTTCCTGAGAGAGTGCCAAGCCTTGCCGGGCAATGTGCCGGCTCAGCTGCTGTGCAAGAGGCCAGGCTCCTGAACGCGGGTCTAGGCCTTGCTATCACGGGGCCCTGGCATAATTACCCTTTCAGATCATGAAATCCATGTCTTAGGAAAGCATTTTTTCAGTCGTAGCAGATAGAAATCAAAGGACTGAAATCTTCAGAGAGCATTGCTCTGGGATTACTATGTAGCAGAAGAAAGCATTGATCTCTGGTATTTGTGCCTCTGAAGTTCACTGACTAATGCAGGGAATGGGTTGCTGAGGTAACCCTTGGCCACTGACTCAGGCACTTGGTACACTTATGTTTCCCTCAGTGACATAGTATGGCATGATTTTAATAAGTTGCCCTGTGACCTTTTTTTCCACACTATTTATCCAAACTAGGGCTTTGCCCTATGGCTTTAACGTCTAAAAGAGATGAATAGACCCATAGAATGAGTCCTTGTCATCTTCATGCGTAGTTCCCTATGGCATCAAATGCTGCAAACTCAAGCATTTGTAGAACAAGATTCTGGTTGTTTGATGTTATTTTCTGCCTAGGGTGCGTTAAAATGATGTTTAACAACTGTTACACAGGCGTGCAGAAGCAGGGAAGCTGTGGATTGGCTTCTCTGTAAAGTTGCCACTTGATTAACTAGACAACTCGGCATCTCAGAGTGTTCTCATGACAAAGGAGCCTCCTACCAGAACACTGAGAAATACCAGCAGTGACCACACGACATGGCTTAAGGAAGCTCACATCCTTGCTCCCGAATGGCGCTCTAGAACTGTAATCACCATAGGCTTTTGTCCTGAGTCAGATATGATTATTGTTGTCTGTGATGGTTAATTTTATGTGTAAACATGCCTGGACTAAGGGCAACGTATTATTGCCTAGAGTGTCTATGGAGGTGTTTCAGGAGCTGAGAGCGGCCAGTGGTCTCTCCGGGAGAACTGGGCATCCAGTCCATCAATGGGTTGACTAGGAGAAAATGGTGGAGGAAGGGCAGATTCATTCTCTTTGCCCAAGTGGAGATTTCTGGCCTTGCACATTGGTACTGCTGCTTCCCAGGCATTCGGACTAAGGCTTAAACGATCAGGTCCCTGGTTCTCAGATCGTCAGGCTCAGGCTGAATTATACCCCCAGCTTTCCTGCTTCTCTGCCTTGCATACAGCACATCACGGGATGTCTTACGCCACACAATTGCATGAGTCAATTCCTATAAGACATTTCTTTGTGTGTGCATCTCTGTTTAGCCTATGGGTTCTGTTTCTCTGGAAAACAAAATGTAATACAGATCAAGAGTGGTTCTAAAAGAACAGAATTTAAATGATATGTTTTCTGAATCATTTCTGGGACTGTTTTTAGAATCTGACTACTATTAAAGATGCTAGTGACTGCATTTCCAGCAGTAAAGGCAACTAAGACAGTTCATGTATATAAAGATATACAAAATGTCTCCATTGGACATGTATAGTCAATGACTTATAAGAAGTAGGAAATGGACACACGTGAATATGATCAAAGTACATTTTACATATATGTATGAAAGTGTCATAATATATATTAAAGATTCATTTCATCTATTTATATGTGTATATGTCTGTACATATGCGTGTGTGGCTAGAATTAGATGAGCCTGTGGGATATCTGCT